ATCATCATACCAGTAGTGAAATCCTATAACTAGCTGTGCGGCACCAATAATCCGGGAAAATTAATGAAATAATGATAAAATATGAGTTAATTTCAAACCTCACTATCTCATTTGTTGGTAATCCATATCAAAAGGATTTTTACCAGCCGGCTCAGTAATGTTGCCATGATGAATATAAATATGGCAATAGGCTGAAACAAGGGGATTCTTATAAAATGGTAACGTTCAAGAGATAACTGCCGAAGGTGTGAATATGAGGCAGACCATATTGACCAACAATTACTTGCCTGATCAAAGGTCGCTCTAATCGTCATATGTGTGAACACTTGCCAATCTGTCTGAACCCGATTATCTGGGACAAACTTCTCATGTACCAGGTTAAGAACAAAAGTTATCATGCGAGAGCTGATGATACTACTGAGTTTCCTCGGCCTACGCAGGAGGAGCGAGACACGGACCCATGATTCATCGTCTGAAGCCAAATGCTTAAGCCAAAGTGACTTACGTTTAGCGATAATGAACACTGAAAATGAACTGTTACCTAGTGTGACTTGTTTTATGGTTTACTAAAGATGATTCCGATTATGATGCCGTAGTACATCCACATTTTCACGTTCTACTATTTGTTAACGTTGTACATGGTCAACGATGAACAACTATGTATCAAGAAGCCCAAGTGAAAACTTGAAAAGATGCGTTGTCAACGAAATCGAATTTCAAAAAGCGCGAAGTGGACGAAAATGTGCATAATGGCTAGATCTAGGGTTACTACAGTTTTACACTTGAAAAACTGAGTCAGTCATGCAGTAGAGATTGCATTTAACATCTTGTAGACTACCTCTGGTGAATAGTGATCGTGACATTCAACAGCTCAGGCTAATGTAGTTGTAGTCGGTAGGATTCAAATATAAGACCCCCAGAAAACCTAATTCCTTACAGTAAGAAATGACAGTGTACTTTTATGAAAAAGACGAAGAGTATTTCAGTGATGAAGCATCGGCAACAAGGAGTGAGCACCCGTGTCAGTACACTTGGATAGATGTAACGCCATCAGTCAATTACGATTTGAATTTTCCCAGGTAACTGGTCTTATTTGATCTTGTACTAAGTGCTTACACGAATGTTGTAATCACATATCAGATGTTACTCTTGGCTGCTTGGAAGGCATTTTATCAACCTTTTCACACAGCGAGAATATCTGTTGTGATGTTCGCAGCATTAAGCGCCAAAACACCTCGCAAAAGCGCTTTTATCATTATCCGCTTACATGCAGCAGGATCAAACGTTAAGATTTAAAGCAACTTCATCATAAGAAGTTGAATCACGAATATGTATTCTAAATAATACAAACATAGTCGTTTGAAGCACATTTCACAAGTGATGAATATTTCACTGCACTAACTTCTGGTGTAACCATAGAAGGTAAGAGACTTGGGTAAAGGAATGTTTATTTGCAATTTGGTATCTCTAAATATAGAGAAATTATGTACACCTTGTCTGAAAATTGTCATTTGTACAGATCTCACATGTTGTGCTACTTCTGCCCTCCGTATTGTATCTCTTCGCCTGCCTTTCGTGTCTGCAGCAACGCTGAATCATTTGCTTTCTTCGACTACAAATCTACCTCTTCGATATTTGCATGGTGCTGAGCGTCCCTTTATATATACTACTGGAAAATCTTGTCTGTAGCACACGCCACAGTCATTGTTTTCAGTTCCGAACCTTTTTCTTTTCCTTCACGTTCCCAGTGGAACATAGGGCTTCAATCTAGTGGCTTGAAATTTCTTTAGCAGTGTTTATTTTACAGGATAGGGTTGCTAGCCTCATGCCCAACCTTTCCTCTACATCAGCGAGGTAAAGGAGTGCGTCGGCCGGGGATTGAACCCCAGATCATGTGCATGGTCGGCGAGCGTCCTAACCACTATACCACCGACGCAGTTCCGAACCTTAGGAATAATAAATGTCACTTAGTAAAGTGTTGAATTCATAGAGGCTTGGAGCAAACAACCGTTTTAATGAGGAGCTCAAGGTTTTCAGGAAGTCAATCAATAAGAATGATTATCTACCTACGATTATTGATGAAAATATGAATTTAGTGCCAAGGTAGGTGGTCAGTATGACAACAGCTTCGAAAAAAAGCTTGTTTGTAAAATTCCAGTTTCTTGGTGATCAACATCTGTGAAATAATAACACAAAACCCCTGAAGAATGCAGTAAAAAGAGCATTCAGTGGGACAGAAGTTCACTATCTTTTCATATAACCACTTTAATTTTACGTTCGTAAGTTCAGAATAGACTATATATATTGCCTCTTTCTTGTATATCTGTATATATCTCCGGAAGAAATTTGAAAAAGGGAACTTCCTTCGCTGATCTAGGAAGCATCGTTTTAACTACAGATGGAAAAGATGAAGATATCAGAGGCAGAGTGGGCAAGGCGAAATACACCTTCAACACTCCAAATCAGTTTGGTAATTTTCCGCACTCACCATATTCTGATTTTCAATACAAGTGTGAAGAGAGTCATTTCTGTTATATGGGTCAGACACTTAGCCAGCGCGTCACGAAAAAACATTCCTAATAAGTTCTGTCTTCCGACCTTACTTGGACATCTCATATCCTAACGATTTCTAAGAAAGTGTTCTGTCTTACCTACTACATTAAGAAACTTAGACAATCTGGAATCACCCAACCTCTACTTTCACAATTTGTCAACTCTGGTATCTTACCTATTCTACTTTACTGCTCTCCGTTAATCTTTCCTGGACTACTGAAAAAGGACTATGCCATCCTGAGAAGGATGTTGAAGGTAGTTAGTAGGACTAGTGGAGTAAAACTCAGTCAGCTCGTCACTACACTAGTTGATAGGCATCTGAATACATACGAGAAATGGTCAAAAACCATACTCTCAGACCCCCAACACCCCCTCTATTCCCAACTCTCGCCTTGTATCTCATCAGGTAGAACCAGAAATCAGTATAAAATAATCTATGCTCGTACAACCAAGTACAGGAACTTAACGATACCATAATTGGCCCGTGTTTCTAAGCGACAGAGACAATGTTAAGCGCGAAACCTATGACTTGCTTTGTTGTTAATAGTATAATTTTAGGCTCTTTTATTTCTCTCCTATTCTATAGTGAACTCCTTCTTAAACATACTTAGCTACCTAAATTATTAACATTGGTTTACTTTTTGTACTTTACTTTTTTCTTTCTCTTGTGTATCCACTGGTTCTGACTCTATTAGCACTATGAGTATTACAAAATTGTCCTGCCATTAACCATCATGTAATTATTAGTTTTGTGGTTGTTTTTTTCTTATTTTCTATACTTTTCGGCAATAGTAAACTGACAATCATTGGTTGTGAACGCCATAGTCACCACCTTAAAATTTTGTATTATGCAGGATTACTCACACTACCACTACAAACACTGCATTAGACCTGACAAAAAAACAAAGCAACAATCCTGAAATGTTACTTTATGATTGTTTAGAGTTGTTTCAACCAAATTAACTGATCATTTTGGCGATAAACATTTGATTTTCATTTCATAACTTCTTGTATGACTCCAGGTTTACTGTCACCATGCATAATCATATCATAGCTTCCACTACCCAATACTGAGATATTATTATATGCTGTTTATTTTCCTTTCTACTTCTTGGTATTTTTTCGCATTTATAATTATTTTTGTGTTTACCCTGTTTTTTTGCTGATGGTGTCTTTAGATTTATTCTTTTTTTGTTTGTTTAATACTCCTTTTAAATGTTTGTAAAATTAGATGCAAATATTGTAGATATGTGCTGAAAATTCCACACTGTACCACTAGTACTGTTTCTGGAATAAAGCAAATTATTACTATTATTAAGTTGCACACTTTTATTAACACCTACCTTCTCTGGCTCTATATATTGAAGATCCAATGGCCAGCTAGAAAAAAAAGCTAGCAACAAGAAACTCTGGGAACCAAACTAACCAACAATCTGTTGCCCAACAAATGTTTAGGGGAAAATGGAGATAGATTGGTCACAAGCTGAGGAGACCGTCAAATGACATCACATGCCAGGGTCTCGAGTGAGACCCCAAACGATGAATGGGGAGTCCGAGGGTAACACGGAGGAGATGAGAGTCTGTGGGCAGTCGTGTGGACCCAGCTGAAGAGGACCGCAGAGAGTAGGACAAAGTGGATATGTGTTGTTGAGGCTCTATGTCCCAGACGGAACAATCCAAGGGAACAATAAAAGTTATACATGTATGTATATCTACCAGTTTGACTACTTCTATGGAGCCACTTACATCGTTGGATTCCTGAGTATCATTAATCAAAGAACAGACAAGTTCTGTTTGTTTCAGCTCAGTCTGTAGAGATACTAAATATAAAGTGGATGCTAACAATAATTTTAAAGTTATCTACCGTATTCCGACCAATCTCAACTTCACTTTTTGCGAGTTCGTCATTTACGCATACTTGAAGCTGTTGAAATACACCTTAAATAAGTCGAACTTGTCATACTTAGAAGTCCTTTCAGACGCTTATCCTATCTTTTAGTCATCACTGTTTTAACCATCTTTATTTGTCACAAAAATCTTCTTAATTTCGTCGGATATTTAATTTGGCATTCTAATCTTTTGTGATTATTATCACTCGCGCATGCTTCCAAGCTGTAATTTTATTGATCTTAACTTTATCTTTTTATAAAACGAAGCATCAATCTTGTCAATAACGATTACTCTTCAAATACTATGTAGTACGCATACAACTGTAGAACCAGATGAAAAAGTTATCGAAAACGAATTTCCATTACTCAATCTTCTTGTCTTCAAAATTGGTTAGTTTAACAAACACACGCCTGCAATCACTGATTTTGAGAAGACCAGCGAAAGCACAACTTTCTGTCTACGCTGTAAAAATAAACATTTTACTTTGAAAAAAAAAAGGATTATACATTTCACAAAATAAAAGACTTTTTTGATCTAATTATTAATATGTAAATTTATACTAATCACAATTTCAAAGTATGTACACACTGATTCACAGTTTATTCTGTTACAAGAAAGAGAAAAACGTATCGGATTTCCATTTTTATTTACAGATCCCGTTCATCCCTTCTAAGTGGTGAAAAGTGTGGGAGAAACAAGAAACAAACGATGAGATTAGAATAGTACATCGTAAAAACACTGAGCAGTGATAAATCTATTATGATGTAGAGATGTAATTGATTCCAATTCTAATCACGAATCGACTTCAATTAGAGCACCACCACCACTGTGGACAACTAAACTGTTTCGCCCCCTTTTTTCAGACTCCTCAGCATTACTTATTATTTTTTTTATTTTATTTTTGATTACAGCTTGATTCCACACCATATTTTCAGTACAAGTAAGGAATTTTCAGCATGGATATCGGTAGCCCAAATTTACAGGCCGACCATAGATATCAGGTGTGCGCCGGCAGGGGATCGAACCCCGGACCATGTGCATGGTCGGCGGGAGTCCTAACCACTGTGCCACCGACGCACATTCACCGAGAAACTTCAGGTTACAGAGTAAGCTTGTTGACCATCCAGCTACTGAGATAGAATCCAGCGGCCCATCAATTCGCAATATAAAGCGACCGCCAGCAAATTGTTATCAGTGAGTATCAGTTCTCCCCCGTCCAACTTGGTGTTCGTCGCTGATCACAGCTTCCCATTAGAATTTCATCACTAGAAGTACTAAATTAAATTGCAGCTGTTGGTCAACAGGGATTTGATTGATTTCAACTGATGATGGACCACACTGGATTTAGTCCCAGTGGTTGAATGACATAGGAATGTTCGCCATGTAACATGAAGAAGGTATTACAGTTCTCCCTGGTTTGCCGGGGTCCTCTAACTTAAGTCAATTCGTGATCGAAATTGAATCCCTGTGCTATTTTGTCACGCATGACGATGGAATCTTTTTGAACAATCGAACAGAAACCAAGCAAAGCATTATTCCGGTTGTATGAGTTTGTAGTATGGCGTGAAAAGAATACAGCAGCAAACCATTAATACTGTGTCACGATTCAAAGCAATGAAAATCGTCGTCACGTTAGACAAAATGCAAAATATGTGTCAAAAAACAAACAACTAGACCTTGGTCCCATCAGAAAGTTAAGTAAACACACACACACACACCAAGTAAGACAAGCATCTCAAATGATGTGTCGAAAGGATAGACAAACGGGGAACTGAAACTCCTCAATCAACCTAATTTACGAGAAGTCCTGAAGGCAATCAAGATGCTAAAAACTGGAAAAGCAGCAGAACCAGATGGAATCCCGGCAGAAGCATTGAAAACGGACCCAGAGACAACAGCGGAATTGATGACGCCACTACTGGAGAAGGTGTGGAAAGAAGGCAAAGTACCTGAAGATTGGAAGAAAGGATACTTATTCAAACTACCAAAGAAAGGAGACTTAAGTCAATTCAAGAACTGGCGCGGAATTATGCTCCTGTCCATCCCAAGCGAAATACTAAGCCGCATCATCCTGGAGAGAATCAAACATGCCCTGGATGAAAAACTTCGACCGGAACAGGCTGGATTCAGGAGAAACAAGTCATGCATTGATCAGATCGCCACATTACGGATCATCATTGAACAAAGCTTGGAATGGAAGTCACCTCTCCATCTCAACTTCATCGACTTTGAAAAGGCGTTCGACAGCGTCGATCGAGAGGTGATTTGCAAACTACTTGGCTACTACGGGGTGCCACCGACAATTATACATCTCATCCAACAGCTGTACGACAATGCTGCATGCCAAGTAATCCACACGGGAAACTTACGGAATCCTTCGAAGTGAGGACAGGAGTAAGACAAGCTGGCTGTCTACTATCACCAATGATTTTCCTGATTCCAGTAGATTGGATAATGCGAAAAACAGCAGCCAATGAGGAAATAGGCATAAAATGGACTCACACAAAAACAACTTGGAGGATCTGGACTTCGCCGATGATATATGTCTGATTTCCCACAAACTGGAAGATATGCAAGCGAAAATCAACAAGTTGGCAGAAGCATCCAGAGAAGATAGGACTTCAGGTGAACATAGAGAAAACAGAGGTGATGAAGATTCCTGGGCATCACCACCAACAGCAACAACAACAACAGACAACAATCAGCATAAATGGGAGGAACCTGAAAGAAACAACCTCTTTTACCTACCGACCTGGGAAGAATCGTTTCAACTACAGAAGGACGGAACTGACGAGGATATCAAAGCACGAATCGATCGGAAAAGCAAGAGAAGGTTTCACTACTCTCAAGTCTGTGTGGAGGTCAACAGCACTCAGCATCAAAACGAAGATAAGATCCGGATTTTCAACTCCAATGTGAAGTCAGTCAGTGCTACTATACGGATGGATCAGTGACTTGCACTGCGCGTCATAAACAGCATCTCAAACAAACTACAGACCTTCATTAGCGGCTAGCTGTCTTCTCTCAATACTACTCAAGATCAGACGGCCGACCAGAAAAGATCAGCAACAGAGAGGGATCTCTGGCAATGAGCGAACCAACCCAGCAGGAACCGATTGTGAGACAAATAGGCAGGAAGAAATGCAGATGGATTGGCTGGCCATACTCTGAGGAAATGAACCATCAAGTGACATCACTAGACAAGCCATTGTTCGAGTGGAACCCGACTGAATGGGAAGCGGAGAGTTGGTCGTCAGTGCAAGGGTGGGGTGACTTAAAGGAGGTCATGTGAAGAGGAGGTGAAGACGTGTGGGCAGACATGGAGCCAGGTGAAGACTCTAGCAGAGAACCGAACTCAATGGAGACGCACGGCTGAAACCCTATGTTCCTCTAGGAATTAAAGGAAACAATAATCATAATAGTAATAATAATAATAATAATTTGTATCTAACGTAATTCTGCTAAATCATTCTTTTCTTGTCAGTCATCATTATTCTACAGATTTCTTCATTATACAATAACTTGTTGCTAACCCTTACGAATTAACTGACCTTGAATTCCGTAGTTATTTTCACTCTTTCCTCCTTTAAAACTTATATATCTTGTTGCTAACATCTACTAGTTAACTGTTTCGATGACTTCTGATCTCTTATTTTCACCACCCCCACTCCCCGCGTATACCTAAAACTGACAATTCCTATGGATTAAAATAACCACATGATTGGTACGTCTGAACTACATATATATATATATATATATATATATGAATAACACGTAAAAACCGAAAAGGGTCACTGACGCAACAAGAACAACAAATAGGAGGAATTGACATTAATGCTTTGTTTTTTCTACCTTTATTACATAAGCTGTGGTTTAAAGCTGCACCCACGTTAAATGTGCAAAGCCAAGCTTGGTACAACATCAGCCAATCACATGACTACGAACTAATGGTCGATATGTGGCTAAAATAACAGCTTGTTTTTTTCTCCCACTGAGAGCTATCTAATTATTATTTTACTTTTCTGTTGTACCTAGATATATCCCAAACAGACAGCCAATTAAGATTATGGAGAAATTTAATTTCACTTGTAAGATTTTGTTACAAACCAACATCATCAGTTAGAGGATTAGAACTCGCGGGTCATTCATTCCCCCCCCCCAAGTGGCTGAATGGTTAACGCGAGTTTGGTCTCGTAACCTGAACGTCCCGTGTTCTATTCCTGGAGGGTGGGTGGACACAGACAAAACGCCCCGCGAAATAGGAGGAAATACCTGTCCAGTGCTGCCTGATTTTCTTCCAATGATCTCTCTAACTGATGTTGGTTCGCGACGAAAGCTGCTAACAACTGAAATTAGATAGCCACCTTTGATACACGTTGGAGACGTAGTCCTCCAAGATTCACCATATTGTAGACACGCTGGTGCAGAAGCTCAGATATCTTTAGAAACAAACAGTAAATTGGCCATCAAAATCTATTCAATTCTCATATACCTCCTCATCAAGCCCCTAAGAGGGAGAGTAATTTCTGCATATGTAGGAAGAAGGTTTTCGGGTTGGAATGTAAACTTATTCAATGGAATTTAGTACTGGTTGACATAGTGATGACTGTAAATGATTTGCTTAAAATAATAGGCCCACATACAGATAGGTGTAATATAAACGTCATTACATAGTTTCTTCATTCGCAAATAAATCGAAATAGGTCAAAGCTTGACCTTAATCACACCGATTGGATCCACTATCAATGAGAGTCAGTCTAATTGGTTTCAAAGATTAGCAAAATAGGACTTCCAACTCTTCTGTAAAGAAGTCATAGTACTCCTTGAATTACTTTAGTCTATTCGAATCAACAAACTCCACTTTTTCTCCTCTCCCTAGTCCTTCATGTTAACAAAATGTATATTCATCTATTCATTCTAACAAGACTTCAAAGTATTCAAATGTGATTACATTAATATAACTGAAATATGGCATGGAGGATTTCATCATGAGCTGACATTGGTTAGAGAACCATTAGAAGACCTGGGAGTACTGGACAGCTGTTTCGTCCTAGTTTGGGACTCTTCATCAGTACGCACCCATCGGGATTCGAACCCAGGACCTTCTGGTTACAAGACGAGCTCGCAGACCATTGAGCAACTGGGACCCGATCCAATGGCCCATGAATTCTAACTTCTGCCAATTCACGACATAGCGCGACCATTTCGCAATGTCTTCTTCGATGAGTTACTGCTTGCTTCATCTTCAACCTGCTGTACCCTACTGGTCACAGCTTCCCACTAGAACCCGAGGTTAACTGCCTGAATAGGGCCAGTCACTAGTGAGCATCGGATTAATTTTCAATTATTGGTTTTGTGGGGATTTTGTTTGAGTGCATGGAGGATTTCATCATGAGCTGACATCAGTTAGAGAACCACTAAAATATAATACAAACTAAAAAAATGTATAACCCAATCGATTACGTAATTTTTCAAACCAGCAAAAGACGTGTTAATGTCAGTTTTAAAAAAGTAACAAAAGTTGAGCAAAGAAAAAACACTAATGAAATGAAGGTAAATAACACCCATATGACTATTTTGACGCATGAAACAAATGCAGCAACCCTCTAGATGTGCAATTTGAATTAGTTTCAGTCAAGTACCTCGCCTAGATTACTAGGTCACTA